TCCCTTTGTGTAGATGTACCCCTTGTGTTAGGGAGTAAGGGGACAAGGCTTGAATCCAGCCAATCAGCGTATTTTAATTGATCAGCTGGTCAATTAAAATACGCTGATTGGCTGGATTCAAATCTCGTCCCCCTACTCCCTAACACCATCTACACAAAGGGGGGAGGGGGCATATAAGGACAACCTTTACCCAAGGGAGCTCAGTATCAGAGTTCTCAGCCCTGATGATGCAAACTGCAACGTTTGCGAAACGTCGGCACATCGCTGATTCAAGACACGGCTCTGTTCTGGAAGCTATACCTAAACGTAATATAACATCTATTTTAGTCCAATAATAAAATTGTTTTGAATAACTAATATATTACATATCAATATATACAATATATACAATATTTATATTAATAATATATACAATATTTATTGAAAGCAATCCTATTTTTATATCTAGCGGAATAAATTTTTATTTGAAAGGAAATTATGCTTTCTCATTTTGACAATTGGATACTTCATAGTAAATAACGCTTCAGTCTACTTGAAATAAATGAATAAGGTTTTCAGGAATCTATTAATTCAAATTCAGTAAATATTTTTTTATTTTTATAAGTGTGTGTTATGTTTTATCTTCTGGTTTCTCTACATTAAACAAATATATATTCAAATTTAGTAAATAATTTCTTCATTTGAGCAAAACAATATTTGCAACCATTAAATAAATTTCTTAAATGAATAATTATTTTTTACATTTCACTAAATATATTTTCAATCTAATCAATTATTCATTATTTTTCAGCAAAAAATTTTTCATCCTGATTGATATATCTTTTCAGTTTAAATAAATACGCCATTAGTATCATTTTAGAAAATCATTTATTCAAAACAAATTATTTTTTTTTAAATTGACTAAATATTTTTCTCAGTATATATGTTTCTATTTAAAAAAGCAAAGTTGACCTCGACTTGATGTTGGCGGCGCCACGCAAGGTCAAACTAAGTACCTTCTTATGTTCTCCATCGAATTATATAACTTTTGTCTGAAACATTTTTGTCTGCCAGTCTTAGTTTTCGAAATATTCGGCTGGATAAATTAAAATGGCCCACCCTGTGAGTGAGTGTGTGTGTGTGTGTGTGTGTGTGTGTGTGTGTGTGTGTGTGTGATTGTGCGTGTGTGTACATGAGTGAGAACGCGCACACTCGTGTTGTAACGATTCCATCTACTCTTCTCGAGATAAGTGTCGATAAAGCCGACAGACAACCGACGAACTTATAAACGTTACAGTTATCAACACTCACCAGATTCATGCAGCTTACAAATGTTCCGTATGGTTTGAGTCATGATAAACTGTTCGTACGATTTCGTTCGTTTTGTGTCGAAGTTGTTCAATCTTGAACAATTTCTCGACGTTCCAGCCTCGTATAACAATGGCT